AGGTACTCACATAGATCTGTCTCATTTGTGGAATATATGGATAACTATAGTGGCCTTTGGAACTTGCAAGCCTTTCAACACCAGTGAGAGCTCACAATAGACAGAAGAATTAATTCGTCACAAAATTTAACACTGTTGTAAAAGATCGTAAGAATTACTATTATATTGAAGGTGGCTCTCTATTTAAGTTAGTTCAAGTTATGTCCATAACCAAATGCAAATTGACAACAATGACCAAAATGATTGAGACGGTCATTCTACAAGATCTTTTCAATGCTATTGTAGCCAATTTCCCTGGTCAAACGCCAAACATATTCTAAAACATACAGTAGTAGGAGTCAAAGAAAACAACTGATTTAATATACAATTAGTCTTTATACCCAAAGAGTCAAAGCAATAGAATTTCATTATAGTGTACAAAGTGTCTGGTATGGGGAGCGGAGTGAAATTCTAGGAAGGCCAGACACAACTTCCAGGCATTAGATAAGTGACCCAAGATAAGACGCGCACAGATACTTAACAGAATGAAGCCAGTGTTGTGAGAAACTTATTGTTTTAAGTGCTATGAAAGCACAAAGGAAGCTTTTAAGGGCTTCAGAGATGTGTAGAATGCTTTCACCCATAACAAAGTCCATGATTTTTTTTAGATTTCTGCTGATAAAATCCTAAATTGTTTCCAATCTCCTGTGAGCAAACTTAATAATTTAGTCTATATATAAGCCCTCCTTTTCTTTAAAACATTAAAATGCAAAATACGTTTAAGTTCCCACATGTTGACCTGTTATAACTGTATTCCTCAAATCAAAGGGCATAAGTTAGTGCCACATGTAAGTTCCTTTTTACATAATGCCATTTTCTTGCAACTTGGTGCTAAGGAAGTTCCAGACTGAAATAGTGCATCAAGGACTGTGCATAATCAGCCTCACTAAAAACAGCTTGATTAATACTAAATATGTCCTAGTTCCTAATCAATTATGTTAATGAAGGCACAGGCAGCACATCTGCAAGCCCTGACAAAGCCCATGATCTCAGCATCGCCTGATAACGTGGACTCCTTGGGAAGCTGCTTAGTACCAGCACTCTCAGGGCAGACTGTATCTGCAGATAAAAAGTGGATACTACTGACAAAAGTCTTGTAATCCTGCAACATTGTTAGGTTATTTACTTAAACTGTAGTGTTGGGCTCCAGGATGAAATGTCAAATAAAATTGCTCTTTAAATATAACAATAGAACCTAAGGGTCCCACTTAACAAGTGACACATTCTTTTCCAAGTGACAGACTGATAGGCAAAACATTTGCTACAGGGTGGTTTATGAACCTCTTCCAGGAGGTAAACTAGGGTCAAACATTTGAATAATCTATCAAAATCTGCCTCAAATTGGGGAATTGGAGCTCCCTGATTTATGTCTGTCTCACAACAGCAACAGAATTAAAATCTGATGAAACTTAAAGGTGACACTATTATTTATAGGCTATCTCTTGTTCTGTGAACATTTGGGCAGTGAGATGGTCACTTGTCAGTTTTTTGTCTAGTTATCTCAAGTCACATAAGCTATGATAGTCCAAATGCCAAAAGAAATATAACTCTGATCTCTCCCTCTCTCGGACTATAAAGTTTTTCCAAGTCATTTACTTACTAGCTAGATAAATGATACACGTCGGTAGTCAATAATGAGAGTACTTAGAGTTTTTGTTGTTTTATTACCTTCAGTATAAGCTCAGTTATATGTGAGTTCAGTTAAGAAAAATAGGTAACTAATACTAAAATTTTTAAAATATTTAACTCATCAATTATAAGCATGTATAGAAGATGATGCAAGTTGGGAATTTATGGTGTTGGAAAATCAGGTATCACAGAAATGAAAAAGGCAAAATCATTGATTACTGAAAAAGAAATATTTAAACAGCTTATTAAACTAAACAAATTATATGAGGCAAACATTTAAGCTGCTTTACTTATACACTAACTAAGCTTAGAGGTTACCAAGTGCTATAGACTGAATTGTGTCCTTCCAAAATCCATATGTTGAAGCCCTAACCCCCATGTAACTGGATTAGAAGATGATTAAACTTAAATGAGATCATAAGGGTGGAGGCCCGATCCAATAGAACTGGTGTTCTGCTGAGAAGAGGAAGAGACACCAGAGTGCCCTCTCTGCTATGCGAGAACAACAGCAAGAAGGTGGCCATATACAAGCCAGGAAATGATCTCACTAGAACCTAATCATGTTGGCACCCTGAACTGAGACTCCCAGCCTCCAGAACTGGAAGAAAATCAACTTCTGTTGTTTAAGCCATCCAGTCTGTAGTATTTTACTATGGCAGCCCTTGCAGACTAAGACACCAAGGTTGATCAGGAATTTAAGAAATTATTATGTTAAGAAGAAACTGTCTTTACATAATTGTCACACACACGAAGTAAGTCTGGACCCAAGTGAGTGAATGGGAGAAGGAGGAGTGAAAGCCAATGGAGACAGTGGGTAGCTCACCCTATCCAAGATGATCACATTCAAAAATCAATAAATAAAAGACCCGTGTGGGGCAAATAAATGTGTCTTTAGCTGACTCGGATGGGAGACAAAAGTTTCAAACCTTGGACTGTATCTGGACTGTTCTCTAAATATTCAAGAAGCATTGTTGATTTGGACCCTTGGAGCAAGACATTACGTGAACTTTTCATTAAATCATGGTCTCTAATAACCAAACAAATTCTTTTCTTCAGATTGGTATTGACACAGTACTAACTTGCAGATTGTATGGGATTTTTATTTGAAATTTGCAACTGCTAATTCATTCAATTTGTAGCTGACCAAATCAAAGTATTTTACATACTATACAATAGGTTATTACAATTTACAAGTATAATGTAACCTTTTCCCCAATTCCCAGTGGCATTTCTCTTGCTCTCTTTTGAGCCTTTCTACAATGCTTAGTTAGGTATGTGGCTTGAAACCTTTTGCTTTTTCCCAGACAACTAGCAGTCAGAATTTCTCCATGTGTGTCATTCCAGTCATTCTGAAGGACATTTGGCCAACAATAGGTCATTTAGGTAACTAATACTAAATTGAAAGCATTTTTAGGATTATTCAATTGCTCTCCACCTTCCTCCTAAATCACCTAGGGATTTACTATACAGATGAGGTCCTGGACCAGTAGCAGCAGCAACACTTGGGAACTTGGTAAAAATGAAGAATCTAAGGCCCCACCCTTGACCGACCAAATCAGAATCTGCATTGTCAGAGATCTCCAGGTGATATGTGTGCACATTAGATTTTGATAAACATTGCTAGCGTACTCTTGACTGACATCAGAACATGATACTTCTATCGCAGAACTGCATGGAATCTAAAGCACAAAATGTCATGTCTTCATTTTACCAAAGTTGCTGATGTCTCAGAAGACATGAAGTTAGAATCCTCCAACTCCAAAGTCTGCATAGTAATATGATAGAAGGATCTCTGGGTAAAGAACTAGAAATCCAGGGCTAGAATCCCAATCCTGCTGTTCACTAATTTAGCGAAAATAAACTGCAAGCTTAGATTTGTTAATCATTAGTAATGTCTACTTTAAAGAGTTTTGAAATGTCAAATGTGAAATGCATATAAGTAAAGCCAACATAATAATATTCTAAATAAATGTGAGTTGAAGAGAGCATAGCCACAGGCATAATTTGGTCAGGATCTGGCCAGAAAAGTAGATAGAACATGCTGGTATTATAATATAAACTTAGAAAAACTTCACCTGCTCAGCTACTAAAATCCTTCCCTGGATGCTGACTGTAATATAAATAAATGTATTGCCCAAAATATAAATGTATAGCCAATCAATTGTTGGGTCTGTGGTCAATGGGACAATGCATTTCTTACCAAGGCATTCAGATTTAATTTATAAATAAATAAACTATTTGAAGTAGGCTACCAAATTCAGATGTTTGGTGTAAAATGGTTGGATTTGTAATAATTTTTACACATAAATATAAATCAAAGTTTCTTAACATTTAATGTGTACAAGGCTCAACTAAAGAGTTTGTTAAAAATATAGATTTTCCTCTCTGAATTGCCAGATCTGATTCACTAGATCTAAGATGTGGCAGGAATATGCATTTTTTAAACAAGCTTTACAATTTATTTTAATGCTGGTGATCTACAAACTATTCTTTGGGGACAGTTGTGTTAAGCCAATAAAATACAGTTAAAGAAAATTCCTAAGTTCATCAATAACAAATATAATAATAAAAACTGTAATTGTTATAGTTTTATTCTACATTTACAGCACCTCTCTGTGGTAGTATTATGAGTTTCAGTATTTTACTAATAAAGAGACTGAAAGTTTAGGTATCACATTAAGGTCATCCAGGTAGAAAAGGGTAGAACCAGAATTTGGACCCAGATCTGTTTGATTGTAGAACACAGGCTGTTAATCACTATATTATTTCCAAGGCACAGAGTTACCACCATCTTTCTAAGAAACAAGAAATTATCAACAGGGCTTGGGTCATCTTTATAGGAGGGGTTTGGAGGATATATGAGATGAACTGAAAATCTCAGCCATTTTCTTGTAGTTATTGGAGATTCATTTGGGAGTGGGTTTAGGGGAGAGAAGATAAATAAGGTATAGAGGAGAGAATAGGTTACATGAGTGTATGATTCCTGATAATGATCATATGATATTTTCTTGAGTTCTATGTACAGGAATTGCAAGGCATATCCTTGTCCATTTGTCCCTACACTTTCTGGCTTGATTTCCAGGGTATGAAGCAGGTCATCCTTCTGGAAGGTGATGGTCACCAATATAAAATCTTAGGAGGAAATTTTTGGTGTTCTAAAAAGGAGCAAATTGTAATTTTTTGGAAGAGTAAACTGTAGCTTAGACATACTAAAACTATTTGAGAAAATATGGATTTTGTTGTTGCTGCTATTACTATTTTGCTTTGTTTCTCTATATTCTATTTTATCTACAATAGAGATGATCTTTCGAAAAATAAAATAAAATACTTGCCTTCAAGAGCTGGTGATGCCAAAGTGGGTCCAGAAGCTTGTTCTGTTGGTAATGGAGGTGGTATGGCTGGGCTTTGTCCTGTGCACACAATGCAGGAGTAGGTATTGAACAAAAAGTGTTAATAAATTTAATATACACAACTAAAATAGCTCTAGATCTGTCCCCAACATGCATAATTCATAATCTGAAGTATAAATTCATATTTTTATGCAATAAGAAAATTGTTATTAGGTGAGCTCTTTAAGTGGATACATACAAAGATTCAGTTATCTTCAGAGCCATTTCTGAAAATATTTCTTAGATGTATACACAATGTCAAATATATCTACTGGACTTCATTAATGGAAAACCTACATGCAATCAAATAAAGCAATTTATTTTCAATATGTACTTCAAATTATGGAAACTAAAATCACAGAAGCTAAGAGGAATCCTAATATATAGAAAAATCACCATTTTTTTCATTTAGCTAAAAATTCTCAAATGATATAATAAAGCAATGAAAGAAGGTTAAAATTCATAGGCCTTTTGATATTGAACAGGTACATTTTCTCCTGCCAAAAAAATGACCTGCAGTTAAGTAAATAATGGGACAAAGGGAAAATATATTCAGTTTTATAGAAACTTGAAAGCCTGCCTCAAGTCTCTGGGCTTATTATGCACCATAAAAACCCACAATCGTTTCTGAGTACTTCCTTATCCCAATTGATTTCTTTAATTAACCAAAACCATCCCAGCCATGAACTGTAAACATTAACTAACATATGATCTCATATGAAATGCCTGCAAAATGTTTTATCATTCATTTTCATTCCATAAACTCCTGCTGTGTGTTTCTTTTAAGTCCAAGAATCAACGCGGGCATATGCACCTTCTAAAATCTCACTGACAACTAGATATTATCAAATGTCAGCAGACCTGCCTGCTTACTGGAAGTCTTCCTTTTTTAGAATTTGTCAAAATTAGTTTGCTTTGGTGAATTGTGGATTAGCAACCTGAGTTACACACACACCACCTTCTGTGGTGGTGAGAAGGGAGGAATCCCAGGCCGTCAAGCTGAGTAGAAGAGGTTAGTCTCCACTCATCATAGGACTTTCTTCTAGCTGTTAGACCCATCCAAGTTGATTCTTGAGCATGTTCAAGTATGCACAAAAGCAAAGCATATTGTTCCATGACATGCAGGCCATATACCTAGAAAAGTATCCATCCATATTAGTATTAATTATTTTCCTCATGAAAGCAAAGATTTGATGGAAACATAATGCAACATGGAATTTCCTTTTTCAGTAAGCAAAGAAAAGGTAAGGATGGGCAAACTAAAAAAGGAGTTTGATCCACATTGTTTTTCCCTGGCTAACATTTATATAGTGCTTACTATGTGCCTAGAATGATCCCAAACAGTTTTGATGTATTAAGTCATTTAATTTTTACAAGATGCTTAGGATGTAGGTATAATTTTCATTTTGCAGTTTTAAACTGAAGTGAACAGGGATTCAGGTGCTCAGCTCCTAAGAAGTGGATTTGAGGTGCCGAAAGCTCCTCTCAGACTGCCTAAGGCAGGCAAAGGGTCATCACATGTAAGGGGTCATCACATATAAGGGGTTCTGCAGCTGGAGAGAGACAGAGGCGTGGAGCTTCCACCCCGAGTTTCCACCGTCTTTGTAAGTCAAATGGATGTATACTTGGGGAAATTCACTCCCAAATCTTTCTTGAGAGCTGTTCTTGAAAAACTGTTTCTAAAATAGGATGGTATTTTGTAGTTTGCAAAACCTAGGGAGAATCTATCAAAAGATTGAGGAAGGAGTCAATTAAATAACTAAAGCTTAAAATACAAGTGACCATGAATATACATAAATCATTTCTAAATACTAAGGCTTTCAAAAATATCTTCATGGAATCCTGCCTGCTCAAACTAAACTGCTTTCTCTCTTGTCAAATACTTTCTTGAACAGTAGTGATGTATAATCATAGTCTTGATAAGCAATTTGGGAATTTATTTTTAAATGTATTCAATTCTTTCCCCAGGGAATAATTCATAATTTAGACTACAAAATATTCTTATATTTTCCTGGAGGAACTATGAGGTCATTACTTTATATTTTTTTAAAATTTAGTGAGCACTTATTATATCCCAGCACTGAAGAACCATTAAACCCCAACTCTGCCTATAAGAAGTTCCCAGTATAATGGCTAAAATATACTTACAGACAGATCAATATAACACAGTGTGAAGATGGGAAATAATATACACAGAGGGGATGTCACAGAAAGATTCTTGCATTTAAAGGCTTAAAAGGAGATTCCCAGGTAACTAATGGAGGAATAGAGGGAGGGACTCCGGACAGAGAGTATCTGGTTAAAAAAATGCCTGGATGCCAAAATACATAGAACTATTAAAACGATCAAACTGGTGCTTCTGCAGCATAAAGTAAAATATCCAGTTTATATCAGAAATTCTCTACGACTGTAATCAGTCGTACAGAAATTCTCTCGCTGTAATCAGCGATATTACACTCGCTAAAATGGCTAACTGCATGATGGTGACGCAGTGGATGCAGTCGGGAATTAGCACCACAAGAAAAAGAAAAAGCCAGGTGTCCATTTGCCTTCATAGGGACAGTGCTAGGTAGCCCTGGCAGGGGAATTACCAGCTCAGGAAAAGTTTTTGTTTTGCTAGGGGTCACCAAAACAAATCAGGCATGTCATACTGGAGAATGACACATGACTCTCTAGTACTGACTTATAGAAAAGCCTTCTTTTTAGAGAATGCTATTGAAATCAGAGAATGCTATTGAAATCAGAGAGCATTTTGCTATATGAATGAATATATACAATATTATATGAATATAATAATTTATGAATTTATGTGAATATGTTACATTAATAATAGAATTTTATAATGATGGCAATGTTGTTTAGTATAAAGACTACATGGTTGTAGTCAAATAGATAAATATGAGAGTTTCAGCTCCATCACTTACAATCTGTGTGAATTTGAAAATTTCATGAAGTACCCAAGCCTCATGGGCCTTTATAAAATAAGGAGAGTTTTCAGGGCTGTTGTGAGGATTAAGTGATGAAGCATCTAACACATAGTAAATACTCAAAATATTCTTTTTCCTACAATGTATTTACAATTTATATTCCATCTAATTACACAAGAGGACTTGAAACAGACTTTTGAAGTAAGAAAACAAAAACATAACAACAGATAAAATTAAACATGACAGAAATAGCAGAACTCATTTACAGGAAAGAGGCTTATCATTTTATTAGGCATATATTTCTTTGGAATTCCTGAAGATTGTTACTCTCTGAAGGGAGAATTCAGGTTGTTGAAATTTACATTGGAACTCTAAAGGTGCCCTTCATTTTACAAGCTATTACCCGAAAACCCCTCTGACGTTCAAACATAGTGAATTGGCTTTTTGTTCCTTGAGTGATTTTGGTTGGCTTATTTCCATAATACCTGAATTGCATGTTTGTAAGCTGCTAATATTTTACTGTTCTGAGTTTTTTGTCACCCAAGTTGTTATGATTGTTAGTCAAATTCCACTGGGGATAGTATACAGTGTGCATTCCTTCTAATATTCTAAGTTACAGATGTTTTCTTTACTTTGCTAGAAAAGATGAATGGAATTACTCAGAATCTCAAGTCAAGAAGGAGGCTGTGAGCAGAATTCAGGTAATGTGAAGGAAAAAGCAATTCACTATACTAAAGTTTAATTTACCTAGTTTTTTATCAAAGGAGATTTCCTGGTTCTAAACCATTTCTAGGCAACTAAAGTCTAGCAACTAAATCTTGAAACAAATGTTGAGGAGATTTTTTATGCTAATGCATGAAAGCTATTTTACCTTGGGCCTCCACTGCATTTTCCTAGAGGTACTGAGTTCACCCAGAAGACTACAAACTCTTTGAAAGGCCTCCTGTGCTGCAAACAATGAATGGCCATAGATCTCGTGACAGAGAAGGTGTCACTCTAGTAAATGACTGCTGAGTTAAAATTCATTTACATCTTGAAAAATTAAAAAGTATGAATAATTACAAATTCCTATCCCAATTCATTCTGTCAGCATCATTAAAAGCATTTGTGAATCTGTGACTGAACATAAAATGGGAAGATCTGAATTTAGTAAGAAAATTATTGTCAAGTGTGTTAAAGCAATAGTATTACTTTTATTTATTGGCACAAGGTTCCTAGACTGACATTTTTTGTAACATGTAGAATAATATTTTCAAAGTTTAGCATTGAACAAATACTAAAATGAAATGAAAATACGGTTTATATTTTAGGCTGATACATGTAACTGTGCTATAGCGTCCTTATTAAAATAGGGACACGTTGACCTTCAAGTTTCCTTACTGAGTGTCTCTTTCTCTGCCTTGGATTTTTGGACCACTTACAAAATGGAGAGAAGGGACCAGAGGAATTTAGAGCGTCAACCACTCCTCCTTTTCCCACCCTATTTATTTAAAACAAAATTAAGACACCACTAATATAATAATCCCAAACTTGAGAATTTGACCATGAAATGAGGAATTAGGAATCTGAAGTTCAGGAGTTTGTATGGGGTGGATGGATCAAGGTTTTTACTCCAGTCATAGGCATCTTTATACCTCCCACTTATGTACTGATATGTTCTAAACAGGTACTTTGCATTCTTTGTACTCAGTCTTGTGAAGGGTATACGTAAACAGGCAATCATCACTCAACTGAGGTCTCAGTTGTTTCAAGGTAAAACAAGAACCGTAATGTCTCTTCCAGCTGGGTTGTTGTGAGTGTTCCTGGGCATAACTGTACAAACGAAATCAGTGAGGGACCATAGGGAAGACCAAGAAGGACCCTGTTGTTATGGAGCTTACATTCAAGATGAAGGGAGACAGGCGATAAACAAGCAAGACAGATAATTTCAGACCTCAGAAAGGTAGGGACATCAAAACAGAGTGGTGAGGCAGACAATGACTGTGGGAAAGAGATGACACTAAATTGGTTAGAAAAGGAAGAATGGGGTCAGTACTGAGCAGGACTCCACTAACCTATGAAGATTTGTGCAAATTAGAAAAAGTCTTCTTTCTG